TTTTTTTTTTTTTTTTTTTTTTTTTTTGGGTTTTTCGAGACAGGGTTTCTCTGTGGCTCTGGAGATCCATCTCTTTTTTTTCACCTTCTATTGAACTAAGAAAACTTGTAGGGCTGGAGAGATGGCTCAGTGGTTAAGAGCATTGCCTGCTCTTCCAAAGGTCCTGAGTTCAATTCCCAGCAACCACATGGTGGCTCACAACCATCTGTAAAGAGGTCTGGCGCCCTCTTCTGGCCTTCAGGCATACAGACAGAATATTGTATACATAATAAATAAATAGATAGATAAATAAATATATATTTTTTTTTAAAAAAAAAGAGGGTTGACATGGATAACTATGTAGGTAGAGGCTTAGAACCCAAGACTGACCTGGCATTAGGTATTAAGAGCACCCTTGCTTGAAGGGCCATTAGCGTAGCCTGGGATCCCCCCTTTTCTCCTGACCTCTAGATGTTCATAAGACCATGTCTACTGGTATCTCTTTAGTTTTATGATCTCTGAATCTTGGGGATACAATGCTAGAATGTTGCTTTGACTTTTCAGAAGAAATTGATTCTATTCAAAGATTTAAAGTGTTTATTCTTTTAAAACTAACCTACAAGCCAACCTGTTGATGAAATCCAGTGATCCACTTTCCAAAAGCATGTGTGCCAATGAAGACAGGGCTCTGTCCTTAGCACGTGAAAAGCAAAGAGAGGCTAGACAGTGTCTCTTTCCCTCCTGTAAAGAGGACGCTAACACGCTGCAGAGATACTGCTAGAGGTCCAAAGGGTCTGGAAGGGCCACACCATGCCTGGCTGGTTTCAGTATAGCAGTGGAGGAGCCTTCACTGTTTTAGTAAGAACTTGACCTTCCATTCCGATTGCTCTGTCTGTTCCTGCCGATAAGGCTAGTCTTGTTTCCATCAGTCACACCGCTCTCTGCAGAGGAGAACCCTGCTGCTGCATACTGTTCAGTTCATACAGCAGGCATGCGTGTCCATAGGTGTGTACTAAATATACACATACATGTATTTCCAATTTTTGCTAGATTTTGGCCCTGATTGCATTCATCTGCATCGAGACCATCATGGAGTGCTCCCCGTGCGAAGGCCTCTACTTTTTTGAGTTCGTAAGCTGCAGTGCATTTGTGGTGACTGGGGTCCTGCTGATTCTCTTCAGTCTCAACCTTCATATGAGGATCCCCCAGATCAACTGGAACCTGACAGTGAGTACACCGCTTGGCTCTCCAGAAGAGGACTCTCTCTCGTCATGTTTTGCTCTAGTTCATTTGGTCTTTAACATTCCTTACTGGGTTGAGTAAAATTCCACAAGTAAAGTGAGTTCTAACAATGGTAAAACATCGTAACAGTTGTGGACTTTTCCCATGGCCCTAGACACTAGGGCAGGGTGTGTGGGCTGCAGCCTGAGTGAAGGCAGGACCTTCAGCTAACCCGTCTCACTCTTCCAAAGCTGTGGTGCCTATGGGTTCCTTAACAGGTAGAGAGAGTGAGGGACTCTTACACTCTGAAATACCTCCCTCAGTGATTCCCTGTGATCTTGTACACACTCATCAACAAAGCAAGAGGAAGAAACCATGATATAAAAATTCTTTTATATTCAAGGACAAATAAAAACAACAAAGTTCAGGAAAGCAGGACTGACAAGTTCTGAACATTATCAGACCAAATTGACGAGAGGGTTCAAACGAGGGTTAGACCCAAAGCATTGACTCTACCACTGGTGCCTGGTTCCTGCAGGCACCTGGGGGAAAGAAACGGGAGCTGTCTGTGTGTATCGTGGGGCTGCTGTCCTGATATGTCCTGGGTCAAGAAGCAGGGAAGGTCTTTCTTATCAGATAGTCCCTGTGTTATTCCATTGGGCAAAACACAAAAGGGGTGGGGTGAGGGTAGGGATTTCCTACAGGAGGTACTGATTAGAAAAATTGTCAGTTGTAAACTCATCTAGTTTTGATGTAGCTTTGAAAGTGGAGGACAATTATATGCTAGGTTTTATTTTATTTTTGAAACATGATCTCATGCATTCCTGGTTGGCCTCTTATGCATTATGTGGCCAAGGATGCTCTCGAACTCCTGATTTTCCTGCCGCCTCCTCTCAAGTGCTGAGATTATAGGCAAGCATCAGTCAGTCTCCTCGGGTCACTGTTGAGACGAGTGCTCCTGGTTATGCATCGATTCAGTGGATCCAGGCAGGGCTGTGCCTGTGCGAGCAATTGCTAGTGTGCTAAATAATATGATGGCTGGGAGTCAGCTCTGGACAGAGCCCATGCTCCCTGCCTGGCAGCTTTCCTCTAGCCCGTGCAGACGCTCAGCAGGAGCCCTGGCTTCTGGGTCTCTGCTGCACAGGCATGGTGCTATTAAGATAGAGTGTTGCCTGAGTAGTGGCCTGTGCTTTTAATCCCAGCACTTGGGAGACAGAGACAAGCAGATCTCAGTGAGTTTGAGTCTGGTCTATATAACAAGTTTTAGGCCAGTCAAGGCTACACAGTGAGACTCTCTCTCAAAAAAAAAAAAAAAAAAAAAAAAAAATAGAATAAAAAAGATAAAGAAAAAAAAAAAAAGGGACCTGCCAGTGTTGATGGTGTAGTCAGCCAGCCCCTTAAACAGATTAGGTTTTTCCTGCTTCTCCAATGAAACTCAGAAGCTATGAGGTGTGACCCAGGATGCTGAGGACCTGATGCTAAAACAGGGATAACAGAAGTGCTGGTGAATGTTTAAAGAAGGACCCCAGCTGTAGGCCAGACACTGTGCTTGGCTCATTGATTTTCTCTCCAGAGCAGCTCCAGGAAGAAGAGATTGCTATCCCCACTGTAAAACACAGAGAAACAATGCAGCTTGTCTGAAGTCATCCATTGGCTAGGTCCCGAGTGGCTGTGTCTCTGAGTCACTGTTACCGTCCTTTCCACAAGGAAGGCAGCAGTTACACCCATGCAGCACTAGGTTAGTTAGTAACCTCAGTCACTTTGCAAAAAAAGGCTTGTTGAAAATCCTCCAGGCTTTGGTGGTATAGAAGCTTGAAAGTCTGTTACGAAAGTCTGTTTTCAGTGTATGAATGCCATGTTTTAGATGGCGTACAGGAAAGAATACCGGGAGATGCCCTAGTTTCAGTACATTTATATTTTTGGTAAGCTTGGCCTAATCTAAATGATATGAGAACCTTTTTTAAAAGGTGACATGAAGCGAGACTTGGTGGCACACACTTTTAATCCCAGCACTTGGGAGGCAGAGGCAGGGGGATCTCTTAGTTCAAGGCCAGCCTGGTCTTAATAGCAAGCTTCAGGCCAGCCAAGGATACATAGAGAGAGCCTGTCTTAAAAAATAAAATAAAAAGACGACACTGGAAGACTGTGGGTACTCAGTGGCAGGCTGTTGGCTTGTGTATATAAAAGGCCTGGGTTTGATGCTTAGCACTACAAGCAAATAAATTAACCTGAACTCTGCATGGTAAGCAGCGTTACCAGTTATGGTTGCTCTTTAAGTCAAGACTTGATGACAAGAGGTAAAGGTATATCGCGTCCTCTCCAGTGAGCAATGACACTGAGAATGACGTCTGCAGGCACAAGAGAAACGAGCTTCATGGGCCTCAGTTGGAAAGTTCTTCAGTTGCTTTGCAAATTATTCTACTTTTTTCTTTTTCTTTAGGATTTGGTCAACACTGGACTCAGCACTTTCTTTTTCTTTATTGCCTCAATTGTACTGGCTGCTTTAAACCACAAAACCGGAGCGGAAATTGCTGCCGTGGTAAGCAGACTAGATTGGTTTAAATAGGCTGAGTTTGCACCTTCTGAGACTGTCCCCTGGCATGTGTCCTAGTCACCGTCCTGTAAGTGTTTCCAGAGATGAGGGGTGGTGGTCAGATAGCAAAAAGGGTTCTCTCTCCATGCTCTGTTCTGTTTGCTGTTGCTTTGTAAAGAACATGTATCACTTGTGATGGGTGAGAGTGGGTAGGAAATGGGGCCAGCAAGATGGTGGTGCAGTGGGTAAAAGGCACTTGCTGCCAGGTCTGATAACCTAAGTCCCATCCCCAGGTCCAAATTGTCCTCTTATAATCACCTATGTGCCGTGGTACACCTCCCACACAACGCACAAAATAATGCATAAATGCATGTAATAAGCATTTTATTTTTTATTTTTTGAGATGGTTTCTCTGTGTAGCTTTTAGAGCCTGTCCTAGAACTTGTTCTGTAGACCAGGGTCTGGCCTCAAACTCACAGAGATTCACTTGCCTCTCTTCACGAGTGCTAGGATTAAAGGTGTGCACTACCACCACCAGGAATAAGCATGAAACAGTAAAATATGAAGCTGACTGTTCTTCCAGCATGTCAGGAGATCCATCAAGCTAGATTAAGAGGTTAAAACCCTACTTCATCTGCCTGGGCTGCCCAGGTGAGAGGCAGGAGGAGGCGTGGTGGTACAGAGCATGGGCCTGATGGCTTCCTGTCGAGTTCTCTTGTGAGACACAATTCTTTCTATATCATATCTGGTCTTTGTTATATTTTTACTCATGGGTCCAGTGACCATGAATTGCATGCAGTAAAAGAGGTACTTCTGTGATTTAAAAATAAAAATAGTTCAAGGCCGGGTGTGGTGGTGCACACCTCTAATCTCAACACTCAGGATGGTTTCCTTAAATTTCACATGAAAAGTTCTAGATAGCCGGGCAATGGTGGCGCATGCCTTTAATCCCAGCACTCGGGAGGCAGAGGCAGGTGGATCTCTGTGAGTTCGAGACCAGCCTGGTCTACAGAGCTAGTTCCAGGACAGGCTCCAAAGCCACAGAGAAACCCTGTCTCAAAAAAAAACCAAACCAAAACAAACAAACAAAAAAAAAAAGAAAAGTTCTAGATCAGCTAAGGCCTTATAGTGAGACCCTCAAAATAATATAGTAGTAACAATATTAATAAATATTTTAAAAAGATAATGGGCTGGAGGGCTGGCTTAGTTGGCAAAGTGTTTGCCATGTAGGCATGAGACCCTGAGTTTCAGCTACCAGAACCCATGTAAAGCTGGATGTGGTAACAGGTACACCCATAATACCAGTGGTCCTAGGGCAGAATCTCATGGGGTCAGCTAGCATTGAGAAGGAAACTACATGTCCCAACGTAGAGAGGTACAGGGATGGATCAGCCAGTGTGGTTCTTGGACAGCCCCCAGAGAGCTATGGGTTGAGTATGACTGGTTAGATTCCCTCCTTATCTTTCATGCCCAGGACATCTAGGTGGCCAGCATGACCCAAGACAAGAAACCTTGTCCAAAACCAGAGAGGGTTGGCACCCAAGGTTATTCTTTGACCTCCAAATGCATGATACTCCCTGTCCTCCCCCACTCCCAGAGAGAGAGAGAGAGATATTAAATAAACCAGGTAGTGTTGGCACATACTTTAATCCCAGTACTCGGAAGACTGAGGCAGTCTGATCTTTTGAGGCCAGCCTGGTCTACAGAACAAGTTCCAGGACAGCCAGAACTACACAAACTCTGTCTTGAAAACAAACAAATAAAAAGTAGTCAAGCGGTAGTGGTACCACCTTTAATCCCTTTAATCATGGGAGGCTGAGGCAGGTGGATCTCTTTAAGATCGAAGTCAGCCTGGTCTACAAAGAGAAGCAAAAAGAAGGAAGAAAAGAAACAGATTTAAAACACTCAAAAGACCTTATAGTTGTCTTCCTGCCAGCCTAGATTTTCCGTGGGTCACGCGACTTCATCCAGATCACAGCTACACCTGAGTAGGGATGGGGATCTGGTATTACTGGAAGGGGCCTCACACAGCTTGGGTCCCTATGACAACACTCAGCCTCAGCTTCAGGACACATGCACAAGGGTAAACTGTGATTGTGTATTTTAGATATTTGGCTTCTTGGCAACAGCAGCCTATGCAGTGAGCACATTCCTGGCCGTGCAGAAACGGAGAGTCAGCCTCCGCCAGCAGAGCACTAATGACTACATCCGAGCTCGCACTGAATCCAGAGATGTGGACAGTCGCCCCGAGATCCAGCGCCTGGACACATGAGACCCTCCAGGAGTCCTCCCTCAGCTGCCCTCACACCCATTCTTCTAATCAAGTTTTCTTTCTCTCAGTACGCCAGATTTTTGTGTGGTCCAGTTGAATTTTGTCCTGTTTGGTAAAAATTCACTTTGGGAAAGGGTGCCTAGAATGACTGATCCGTGGTGGCCTGAAGAGCCAGGTCCTCCAGCATTGGGTGCCTGTGGGGGCAGCCTACTTCAGTGCCTGCTCCAGGGCTGAACTGTCTGTCTCAGAACACACAGTCTCATCTGACTCTGAGCCGCCCTGCCTTGTGTATCTGTGACCAGTCTAAACTGAAGTGGCTTTGAGAAGGGAACTATGTTACAAGATAGCGGTACAGGGCTGCAACAGCCAGTGAGGTTCTTGGATAACCCCTAGGGAGCTAGGAGTGAGTGTTGAGTCTGGCTGGTTAGATCCACCTCATTGTCTTCCATGCCCAGGGCACCTAGGCAGCCAGCGTGGCCTGGGTGGGACTGAGGGGCTTAGTGAATAGATGTGCTCCTGGAGCCTCCTTGCCAGGTCTTTATGTTACAGGGACAGGAAAACCTAGTGCCCTGTGGGACCACTGACTCACAGAACAGTGACCATTTGTCTCCTACCCTGCTGAGAGAGCACTTGATTCCTCCTCAAACGAATCACCTTCCTGTGGTCCATACTCACTTCCTGGGGTGGAGGCCATCATCTCTGCCAGTCCCCTGCCTACCTTACACATCTTGAGGCTGAATTGCGGCAGTTTCCGCACCTTTACCTTCTCAGGTGAAAGCTGCGGAAGAAACCATACGTCCACCAGCAGTGGCACTGGTTCCCGGATCACATGTGTGTATGTGGGGCAGGCAGAGTGTGTGTATGTATGTGTGTTAAAAAGCGGCACACTCAAATTCACACTTGTATTGTATGGATGTGTCTAATTCTCTGAATATCCAAGACAAGCTCTAAAGTGACTCAGAGTCAGTTTATCTAGGATTTGAAAATACTTGAATCTGCACCAGGACACATCTTTCCACAGATGTGCCATAGGCACTGTTGTCATTTTGGGGGCCTGAGTGTCCTCACTATGAACACCAGTCCTGGAACATGTTAGGAATTCTAGTTACATCAGGCTTTTGGATTGGTTCTTGATAAACTGAAGATTATTTTTGTGGTAAATGAGTTGAGCAGGCCCCTATCATGCTGTAATTTTGTTGTTGTTGTTGTTGTTGTTAATTGTTGTTGTTAGAGACTAATTAATCTTTTTGGAAAATTGTTTTAACATGTCAGGTTCTCTCTCTGAACTGTTGATGTTTACAGACCTTATTGTAGCTCTAATATTTTGTGTGTAGCCTCACCAAGGAGAAGACATGGCTGTTGGAAAGGTATTGCAATAGCAGAGAGCCCCCGCCATCTCCTACTGAGACTGTTATAGCCTGAGCAGTGTCTTTTGTAGTTCATAACCCAGAAGTGGGTGGCAAGGCTGGGGGAGGAAAGTCTGAGGAGGTGGGTGCCCCTGTGTGCATGGCTCTGCATCATTCAGGGAAGAGCAGTGATGTATGGTTGAGTAGCAAAGAGGAGCTATTGTCGGATACCACTGCGGGGCTCCGGAGTCCACAGGAAGTAGGGTCAGGCTGTATCTGGCTGGGGGCCGGGTAGGGGGGTACTAGAGGTTGACTCCCGAAAGCCAGCATCCAGTGTAATCCAGTGCTGCTGCGGTTCCATGTTGGCAGTATCCAGGTCACATGATCAAAGGACAGCTAGTCTGGGATAACTCCCCTCCCTGCTCCTCTTCTCCTCTAGAATGCGGCCTGGGTCTGGCCCTTGCCCAGCTCCTGATAGAGATTTCTGTCCTTGAATGTCGTGAGGCTGTCGGTATACCTTGTGTTGTTGCAACTTTGAACCTGTTGCATATTGTGATACCGGGGGAGTGGATGACATCTGGATTTTTATCTGTTTTACATGGTTATTTTGAATTTGTTGAGTATGTCTACACAATCAAAATCAAATTCCCTTTAAAATAGGGTCACAAAGACTTGGCCTACATCAGATGGGCCCCCCTTGGAAGGACCACCCTGAGCTCTATCATGTTACTGGGCCTCAGGAAAAAGCCACCTTTGAAGTGAGCCGGAAGAAAGAAGCATTCAGACTGGATTGCTGCTCATTTTCCCAAGTCACTTCAATAAAACCATTTTATCATGTGCTGAAAGGAGGCCTCTGAGAGGGTTGTCAGCTGAAAGACATAATCCCGAGGCCCAGGGAGCCCGTGAATACAGAGATACGATAAAAGTGCTGAGGTCTTAGGGCCTGAAAGACTTGACTCAGTTGCATCTTGGTGTCAGAATTATCTTTGTAATTATTTATATCCCAGTAACTATTTAATATCCTTTGTGTTATGAAGCTTCCCTGTGGCTTTTGTATATGTATTTCCTAGTACTATTTAACTAGCTCCCATAGAGCCAGAAGTGGTTTATACACGTTCTAATAGCGTGATGCACAGCCCCACTCCTATATAGCCAACGTGGTGAGGAGAAGCCATGAAGGGAATATGGTTGCCTACAGGGAATGCAAGGATGCCTGTGTTTTTCTTGTCATGCTTCTATGCAAACAAAATAATCTAGATCTGGGTTTTTAAATGATCTCTGCAAATTGAAAAAAAAGCATATTTTTGTGTCTATTAAGTCTATTACGGACTGGTGTCACTTAGGTTCTGGGCATTTTAAGTCAACCTTAGCTTATTTTGTTTCCCTATGGAATGGGATGACTGACTTTCCCAGTTGGAGCAAAACTTGAAGGGAAATGCAGTTGTTGGGAGCATCTGGTGTGGCCATGGAGATGTGGGGTTCAAGTCCTCTCACATTTGGTACTTTGGATGGATGTAAACACTGACATCCTCAGAGAAGATGTGGCGCTGTGTCTGTTGACTGGGTGGCATTCACCACTGTTCTCTACCCTTCCTGCAAAAGGCACAGAGGGTAAGCCCTTTTCCTTTATGAATGGAGAGCAAGGAAACCCAAGGTACTTACTGCCTCCTAGGAAGGGCGAACACAGTGATGGAATGGATTCTCTTCAGAGAAGTTCCACTTAAAGTGATTGCCATGCGAGGCAGATTGCTTTTGTCTACAGAAAAAGCAAGAATGCAGAAGCTGCCCACACCCAGTGCCCATATCTTTCTTAGCAATGTGCTAAAACACCGGAGTGGGTAGAGCCTGGGCACAGGGAAGCCAACAAGGACCAGCCGTGGTCCATGTGCAGTGAGCACTTGACCTTGGGGCCCTTTATAGGCAACTAGAAGGCTCACACCCATGGGCAGACCTGGTACACCTGGCTCCCACCTGTCCTGGGTGCTTCTGGAGAGAGTTTTGTGGCTCACCTGAAAACATTTTTTCTCTTTTCAAGTTTCTTCTATCATCTTTGAAGGTTTTTCTAGTGGTCCAGGCAGTCTTAGAAGAAATGAAGGTCTAACTCTTGTCCCTGCACGTATGTGAATTCTTGCTTGCCTTGAATGAGCCTTGACTAGTTCTGTGTGTGACACAAACTGCTATGTGGAGAAAGCCCCTTCCCTGTCTATGAAGTGGCCTGAAGGTCAGAATCCCTGTGAGTCAGTCTTTGGAGCATGGAGACTTGTGTCTAATTTAGTGACCATGTAGGTGGTTCCTTCTCTGCCATCTGTGTTCAGAACACAATAGTCCATGGTTCGTGTGCTCCTGCCTGACTGCCTTTTTCTCAAGATGTCACCTGCATAGCAATAGTGACATTAGGCAGGTAGCAGAAGGGATGGGGTATGCGCTTCCTAGATAGAGAATTGTTAACTGGTTCTCAAGCAGGAAAAAAAAAAAATGCTTCTAGCGTGTGAAGTCTCCAGGGTTTCTCTCCTATTTTATCGCACCTACCCCATAGGGGCCAGCTAGAGAGCTTGGTGGACACGAGGTTTGCATCACAGGCATGGCGGGAGGAGGCTGCAGCGGGAACAAAGTGACGGCATAGATGGCATAGTGTTCATACCCCGTGCTGCCCTGGGAACATGTCCTTATGCCTCCTCTTCAGAACAGTGAGGGCTTGAGGCCAAGAGCTGGATGTTGGAGACCACCAGCCCCAGTGCTGGCATCTAGTCTGGGTCTGAGCAGGTGATAGCTGCCTCAGGTGTGTTCCTGGCGGGACACAGACCTAACGGGCCTGTTCTCTTGACTTTTGTTAGCTCTCACCTCCTTAATCTATTGTTTTTCTTCTCAGCAGACATCTTTAAAAGAAATCAGATCTGTCTGGTTGAGAAAGTAATTTGAAATATTTGACCTATCTATGTTTATGTAGCCTTTATCTCTGAAAGAAAATGCCATCCGTGTTAGATCTAGAATTTTCTTCTGAAAGGGAATGTTCTTTTGGATTTCATGATAGTCAGTGTAGCATTGGATGTAAGTTCTCAGGTTTTGGGAATTTTTATTTTCTTTCCAGTTTCTCCTATTCAAAAAAAAAAAAAAAAAAAAAAAACAACCTAAGAGGAAAGAGGGTGTGGGCCGAGGGGGCACAAGTCTCTTGTGCTCAAAGCACTAGCCACTCGCCCAGAATCAAGTTGAGATTGTATGCCCTCGAACGGTATATTTGTATCATTAGTTTACCCTGTCAGCCTTTTTATTCTGATACTTCCAGTTCCGGTGAGCCTTTGGTTAAGGGTTAATGTCACTTGGACTGTGGCAGGTTAGCGGGGCTTGTTTGGTTATTAATCATGGTAAGAACATGCCTGCAGTCACTTCACTCGGCTTTGTTAATGGGATGTAGGGCAGGACCAAGAGGTTTGTTTTTCCTTCATAATTGTTTCTGAAAAGAGAGATGCTGCTAATACCTCATCAGAAATTTCCCCCCCCCCCCCCATCAGAAAAGCTACACAGGAATGGCCAAGAGAGACAGTGCAGGAGGCTTGTGCTCACTCCGGCCTAAGGCAGGGCCAGGCCTGACTGACGCCGCCTCCTTCCGCTAACCCTGCTTTGCTTCCCTCTTTTTCAGAACAGATTTAGCAAGTTTCACAACTCTTGTTTCCCTTTTCGTGGCAGTGAAGAGGACAACCCTTCAGGGCTTAAATTGGCTAGGTCAAGGCTAGAGAGGGCAAGAGCAAGGGCTTGCTGTGGCCCAGGCCCATCTTTCATTACTAACTCTGTCATTACTAACCATTGGAAAAATCATTCAGATCATGATGAAATTGACCCATTTGCCTGAAAGCATTGCTTTTTAATAAGTTGATTTTGTTTGACATGGTTCCAGCTGGAAGAGTGCTAGGGAGTGAAGCTGTCTGTGATGTTGAAGTTCATTGGACTTTAGGAACCCATAGCAGAAACGCCGAGCTAGTCATTACAGTCTGCATTTTTTTTAAGTAGGCAGTTCTGTCCTTGTGTATTTTATGATAAATAATCACTTCACCTTTGGTGCCTTCCATGTGTCACATAAGCACTCTTGTCAATCATGGAATGGGGAGGGTTACATTTGGTTAAAACAGATAACACTATTTTTGTAGCATGATTGTGTCCTTTCAGTATTGCTTTCCGCAGTACCCTAGGTCTTGACATTTGGGCCATTTTTGTCTTAAGCTTCCTATGTAGTTTTCAAAGTCAGACACCTCCAGCAACTCCTACCCCACGCACCGTGTTCTCCCCACACTGCACGTTTGCTGGTTAGGCCTGAGAGTCAGAGGACATTTCTTTAAAAAAGGTCGTGTCCCTATAATTCTATCTGACATCATTCGTTTGTTAGACTGGACAGCTGCTGCTCACCTGCAGCAAGAGGAAAGTGGACTCGTTTTTTCAAGTTTTGTCTGTGCCCTGTCTTCCTGCTCACTGAGTCTGACAGAAAGAGCTTGCATTTGGCTCCTTGCCCTCCCACCCTAGCCAGTCTCAGGCTGTTCTCTGGCCAAGGGCCACTGCTTCCTAGCAGCACCTCAGCCTTGCTCTGGGACTCACCCCACTTGGATTCCAGGTAGGGTTGTGGAGCCCCTGGTGTGGCCTGGATGTAGTAGGTCCCCTGCTGTGACGGGCTGGATAAAGCCAGGGCACAGCTTAGCCACTTTCTGCTTTCCTGGCCCTGCTCCTTGGATTGTCTGGTCAGGAAAAGCTCACCGAGCCATTGTTGAGTAAAGGTACGGATTCTCTGAGACATTAACTTTGTAGCTCCTTGTCTTTGTCCTTTTGAAGAGTCAAAACGTGGTTCTGTGGGGGAAAAAAAGTCATCAGGTGGCTGAATGACAGCTTCCTGCCAGGATGGGCCACTGGCACTCATTTAACTAGTGGCACTTAGGGGGACAGTGTTCATAGTTACTACATTTTGTTTCCGTCGTCTGGTTTTCTTTGAGACAGGGTCTTGCTAGGTAGTCTTGGCTGGCCTTTAACTTGTAAGTGATCATCCTGCCCCTTGTCTTAAACGCTGCGGTACAGGAGTGTATCACCATGCACAGCTAAAGCTTGTCTTTTTGGCGGTTTATAGACATGACTGTGGGCATTCCAAGGTGAAGGCTGTTGAACAAACTGATGTGTGTTGTTTGTAGTACTGAACTTTGCCTCCTGGCCCATTGGACATGGCCACTGTGGGTGAGCCCCCCAACTCTCGGGTTTCACCCCGTGCTTGAAATAAGTGATGTGGGAGCCCCATGGTGTTTGCTCCCCTTGATTTGCCCCTGACAGCCGACAAAGCCTCACACTGCCCTCAGCCTCCCCACTTTCCTTTGAAGGACCAATTTTTCATGGTACTTGTCTTGATTGTTTTCATAGTGTTCAAATCTGTATTTTTGTATGTAGAGGGAAATAATTTTCGACACTAATCACTAATGAATACTGTATTGTCATGAAGGAGTTCTTGTTTAATAAATGGACACATAAAAATGTTTTAGTCTCTCCTTTCTTCTCGCTCCTACAAACAAATTTGCTCTGTAGAGGTGACAGAGCCACAGTCAACAGGCTGTAACCAGTTTGCCAGGCTCCAGGGCATTGCACAGCCTCTCTGCCTCTGCATCTGGCTGTCCACATGTTTTAGTGTGCGTTTCAAGTGATGGTGTGCAGAAGGCTTTGCTGCTCCCCGGGTACTTGGGCTTGAGTGGTGACTGGGTTCCTCATAGCAGCTGCTCTGAGCTCCCTTGCTCAAGACCCAGGTTTTGGTTGTTGCTCAAGACGAGGCTGCCTGCTCACCCTTCACTGCCTTGACTAAGATTGAGTAAAAGGCAGTGGTGGTCAGATGCTGTTGCCCAGCAGAGATGAATACTGCCGCCCCACTGCTGGCAGCCACCAGGACCCACTGTGGTCATTGAAATGGACAGTTACTGCAGGAGGTGGGTGGGTTTCTCAGTCGGGCACACTCTGAGCAGGTAGGCACTTTGTTTTTAATCCATTGTGGCATTCTTTTAGGGAGGGGATTTACATGCAAGGTAGGAAGAAGGTTACAAACATCTTAAGACATGGGCCCGGAGCTCTGGCTCATTCCTGGGGCCTCTCGGGCCACAGAAATGCCATTTTTGTTACATTGCTTTTGAATAAAAAAGTTATAAAAAAAAAGTTAGAAAACATCAAAGACACACACAGTATCAACCCCCAAGTGAACACAGAGAAGGCCCATGTCAGCAGGCCTGTCCAGGTGGCTCCCAGGAGAGGGCTTGACTGGGCCCGCCCAGCCACATGTGACGTTGTCACCGCCACTGCCCTGGTAGACAGACAGGTCTTTGGGCTCTTTGCTGAAAAGGTCTCAGACCCACAATGGAAGACTTGGCTAGTTGGGTTTCTCCCCGTTTTACAGTGAGGAGGGAAACTTCTCGAACAAAGATTCCTGAAAGTCCTCAACAAAGTGCAGGCGTGAACAGGAGCCCTCCGTGCAGAGCCCACCGGGGCTGGGTGGGTCAGCCTGCTGTGACCACACCCCACGCAGCCACCTGAACCGCAGTGATTGGCTCCGTGTGATGTCTGCTCCCATGGGGGCAGCGAGGCTCAAAGGCTCAGGTCTTCAGGACAGAAACGGGAGAAGGCAGGATATTCAGTCTCCTCAGGCGCCAGCACAACCAATTTTGAGTGTGAGGCTCAGGGGCCATAATCTTGGAGACCTGCTCCTCGGTCTGCTCTCCCGTGGGCTTCCGCTGCCATGCTCCTGTAGCCCCGTCAGGACGGTATGGATGGCGGGCCTGCGTGGCGCCAGGCGCAGGCACACACCGGCCTTCTCAGTCGGAGTCAGAGTCGGAGCTGGAGTTGGAATGATCTGAAAGGAAAGTAGAGAGCGCTGGCAATAGTCCCTGGAGTGTGGGTAGGAGGGGGCACTGGCAGCAGGAGCCCTGGGCCCAGCTTCTCCCATAGTGACAGGCTGGGCCTTGGGCAACAAGGGGATAGGGCAGGCACTTCTCTTCAGCCCAAAGTCCAAATGCATCCTTCCCAGGACGTCCCCTCTCACCTGAGGATGTCAGAGTTGTACAATTGCACCCTTTTCTCCACCCCCATTCGGCAGGACAAGGCAAAGACAACAATTTCTTGTTCCTGAACTAAAATACACTAGAAAATGGACAAGCTTTTTGGTGGTTGTTTTGTAAATGTATTTTGTGGGTTTAGGTGTTTATATATTATTTTATATTGTGAGATGAATATAAAACATTTTGTCATGTTAAAGTCAATTAGTGATATAACTTTAAAGGCTCCTGGAATCACACCATTCAAGATTATTCTGTAGAACCTTCTGGAATCTCATGCCTTACTAGTACCTGACCCTAGCAATGGTGGCTGTATTTTAATGCTCATCACCTCCCGAAGGCCTGGTTCTTACCCCTCATCCATTAGCCAGGGGTGTATAAGTAAGACAAGCTTGTTATAGTCATAGCTAACATATAGGCCAATTATAAATACTTGTGCTGCAAAAATTACAGTCTTATATTAAAACCACACCAAATATTCAAAACGCATGTCTCCATGAACATTTATGCTCCGATCCCTGAGCTGGTTGGCCAGCATTTGCTGCAGGTCCCAAAGGCTAGAAGACAACATCCGGGAGCATTTAACCTGTTTGCCACAGACCAGGAATGAGTTTCCAGTGACATTCACTTTTAGCAGCAGGACAGTGTCTAGGAATCCCAACAGGAAACTGGTAGCCTCTAAACCTAGCCATCTAGGTCCTACTTCAGATATTTAGTACAATGGGGAAGATCCTACAGCCAGGATCAGCCCCGAGATCAACTCTGTCTAGCCACACAGTACTGCTGGCTTGCTCCAGAGAAGTACCTGGCCCAGATTGATGTTCTTTGGAGAAAAAAAAAAAAGATCCAAACAAATCAGGTAAGGGGTGCTATGAGTTTGAGACCAGCCTGGGCTACAAAATGAGTTCTAAGCCAGTGAGTTACAACAGAGTGAGGTTCTATTTCAAAAACAACAATAACAAAAACCAAGCCCCCTGTGCCTGTGCCTGCCTGGGTGCTGTGGGCTTCCAAGCAGGAAAGGGGAAAGAGGGTGTAGTTTGATGGTCTCAGATGGATTGATCTCAGAGACACTTCCTACTTCAGCCTCAAACTAACCAGGTATCTCCCCAAGGAAGGGCAGAGCCCTACAGCTATCCTAAAAAGGATCAGTGGGGATTCTCAGAAACCATGCGGAGTGGCCACTCACCTCCTGCTGTCTCTTGGGCTGTGGTCTCGTTCACAGAGTCTCCTTGCTTGAGGAATTTGGCCACTTCATTAAAGATCAGGTAGAAGTCAATTGCAAACACAATTGTGGCAAAAAAGCCAAAAACCTGTGGGATACACGCATGGCATATGGCAGGGAACGTGGACAGGGTGGATGGAAGCCTCACAAAGACTCTGGGCTCATGGACCAAGAGACTGGGCATATGCAAGCAGCAATGAGGAAATGCCCCAACCAGGACGGATGGACAGACACAGCCTTTCTGAGTTATGGCAAATAGGGGAGATGGGCTGTGAGCCTGGTAGACACAGCCGCTCAACTCAGGACAGACTAAACTTTTAACTAGACTGGCTTGGCAGAGACCCACATAGGGACCCAGTGCCTAAGCAGGGGCAGGATCTGCCCGGGTCCCACTGTAGAAGCGAGTGCCAAGGAGGATGACCTGGAGCATCAGGGAAGGGGCACCGCTGGGTAAATCCACTAGGGGGCAGGGCAGCCACTCACTCCAGCTGCTTTGTAAGCTCCATCTGAGTATTTGGCGACAGCTGTGATGGAGATGACGAAGTAGATGAGGGCAGCCGTGACACAGCGCAGGAAGTCCTGGGGAGAGAGGGACGTGTCCACACTGAAGGTGCTATAGCACGGGCAACCAACACAATCAGCCCTAGCACCCACGGAGTCCCTGTCCTAGCTCCACCTGCATGCCCTGGCCCTAATCTATTCTTCGTGTGTCTTGTGCTGCAGGCTTCCAGTAGCTTATATTTACCCATCCTTGGTCCCGCTGGGTTTTCTCTGCTCTGTGGGTAGCAAATGGATTGTTTACTATGCTATACTGGCTCTGCAGCTTGGCACAAATGGGAAGTGGAGAAAGTCTAGCTTCCCAAGAGGCTTGACCTTGCCACAGTGAGATCCGTTTATGATCCTAGTCTCTGTTTAGTCCTTAGGGTGGGGCTACAGTGAGGGCAGCTACCACCAGGTGGTTACATGGATGCTGGAGATAAGTTCAAGAGAGCCTTTGCGACCGATTTTCTATGATCCACTCTATCCATTAAAGGGCACTCTCTCGGGACTGTAAGGTCCTCGGGTGATCAAACAAGGGCAGGTGCCAGATGACTAGAATCTAGGAAGTCCCACAAGTCCTCAGTGACTCCACCTTGCTGGAAATGGCTTGAATGCTTGTGGCTGAGGCACATTCCTTCTCTAAGACCAGCGCAACAGCTCCACCTGGTGGTCAGGAGCCTTCTTTGGGTGCCCAGCTTCATAGAACAACGCAGGGGGGCGGGGGGCTTACAACTTATCAGGTCCCGCTGTCCCAGTGCTGCTGGGTGGGCGGGGGTGGAGGCCCAGATTCTTCAGGGGACAGCCAACCCCTTCCTCTTGGGTCCCCGGATCCTTACCATCATGGGCCAGCACAGGCCCTGCCACTTGTCATTCAGCTGCATGGCATCAGCAAAGAGGAAGTAAACAGCCAACAGGAACTCCAGCAGAGGTACCGTGAGGAAGGCAGATGCCGAGGACACCACGTAGCAGATGAAGGTAATGAATGAGAGTCCCTGCGGAAGAGCAGGACAGTCAAACATTCTTGCCACCCACCCCCCCACCCCCCAGGCCAGGCCAGGACCCTGAGTCCCCCCATACCTTGCTGAATCCCTGCTAGGACCCCATCTTGAAGCCCCCCCCTCAGGCCACCTTTGGCTGCTCAGCTTCTTTCCTGACTCTGCAATGGACCGTACCTAACTCAGCTATGTCCACAAGGGGGCAAGCAAGAGCTAAAAGCTACTGCTTTCAAAACTCACACCCTACCGGTACCTAAGATGTGTACTTTTCATGAAAACCCTAACTTCACTGGACGATGATGTGCATGCCGAAGAGGTTGAAGTTGAAATGCAATGATGTCTGCAACCGAATTTGAATGTATGAAAGCACAAGGGAGGTTGATGGGCACAGAGAATAAAGGAGGCAGAGCAGTGTTAACCGTGGTACAGTTCACGTGGTAGAGGCAGGGATGTTTTGACACTTTTGTGCATCTGCAAATCTTTATTTTAAAAAAAACCTATGCACGAGGCTAGCAATGCAATGCATTTCAGCTGGTAAAGTTCTTGCCTACTACACACAAAGCTCTGGGGTCTATGCACCGCATAGACCAGGCTTGGTGGTACAAGCCTGTGACTAGCACTTTGGGATGTGGAGGCAGGAAGAGCAAAGGTTCAAAGTCATCCTCAGTTTCATACAGAAAGTTTTAGGCCGCTTGGAATACATGAAACCCTATCTCAATAAAATTCTAACTCCTTTGGAGACAGCCTTGATTGTGGGTCCCTGCTGTACCATTTAGGTGGGGCTGGCTACACCAATCTACAGAAGCCTGGTCCACAGGGTTGTAGGGTGGGGGATGCCAAGGTCACTGGGGAGTCCTGCAGACTTTGTGCACGGCAGGGAAACAAGATGAAGATGCTAGGGCTGAGGCGTTTCAAGCCCAGTTCTTGCTGGTTCTGCCTAAGACTTCTAGACTTCTCTGCTCCTCAACGCCACTCATGTGCCTCCCACAGCCTATCTTTTAAAGCAGCAGACTTGGTGTCACCCAGTTAATAGGGTATCACGTCTGTACTTAGGGCATTAAAGGCCTCCATCTTCCTTGGCGCATGTCTACCACTATGGCCGGCTTTGAGTCTGTCCACGGCTCAGTGGTTTAAGGGGCCGAAGGGGGGAACGCGGATGTCCTATAGGAACAAACTACCATGGCTGCTTCTGACAAATGAACTGATGGTCTCTGGGACCCCATTCTTGCCCCTTCCCCTGAACATGCCATGGAGGAAGCTGAACTGCCCCAGGCAAACAGGAAACTAAGGCTTAGAGAAAGACTTTTTTGAGGTGGCCAGTCATCAGCTCCCACTGTATTTGCTAAAAGGCTGCTCTTAGGTCTCTCCTCTTTCTGTTCTCATTCTCCCCCTCAATTGAGTCTGATTCTGGCGACACCCTTCCCTCCCGCCACTAACACACACACACTTGAGTCCTCTTTTCTCATTCCACAATTCTTGGTGGTCAGTTCCCCTAGTTTCCTATTCATGTCCGACTCCCGACTTGCATTGGGACCAAGAGGAGGGACTAGGAGCGGTTCCCCTCTACCCTCTGAATTCACCCCTTTCCCTTCCTATTTTCCTAGGCCTGGATTTCTGACACCTAGGCCGACTAAGTCAAGGATATCTTGTGAGTTATGGCTAGCACTCACCCCTTATCCATGAAGGGGCACTAGGCAGGGTAGGTCAGAAGCCTCCTCAATGGCCTGCAATTCAAATCCCTCCCCAACCCCCGCCTCGTGACTTCCAGAGATCTGAGATGGCCAGTCTAAGAGAGGGCTCTAGGTCTGCCTGGTATCTCACTTAGGAACAAAGTATTGGGGTCTACTGGTGACCTCGGGATTGATGCCGCCACCATGTGTCCTGGGGTACAAGGGAACAGTCCTAAGGCAGAAACCCTCCCATCTTTTCTCAGGGACCCTCAATTGAGTCACCTGTCAAATTTCCTAGACGCAGTTAAAGGCACTTTCTGGTTCTCTCATCTCTCGTCCGCCCCTCCCCCCTCGAGCGGGTACAGATCAGATATCAAGTTGCTAGGGATCTAAGCAACAAATGGCTGTCGCCACGGGCTGTTTCCTCCTTCTTCCCGCCCCTCTTAACATCCCCATAGGCCCCGTGCCAGTTCCCGCCCCACACGCGCTGTTAGGACAAAGGAGACCTCCCTCGTCGGGTGGGGACAAGGGGGGAAGGAGGAAGGAGTGTGGCTGGGGAGGGAGGAAGAAGGGAATGAAGTCACCCCGCTGACTCGCCACCCTGGGACAGCTGTCTGTCTGCATCTTCTCTACGCAGCCCCGGTCTCACCCACTCCGCAGGATCTGCACCCCACGGGTGGCCGGGTCTCAACCAGGGAGGTGGGAGGGTGTGCAGAACAAGAGACCGAGGCTTGAAGAAGCTCTAAGCGAGCGGAGGAACTCGAGGTCACACGGCGGCCAGGCCGCGGTGCCCGCATTGACCAGATCCCCAACCCTAGTCCTCTGGTCCCTTTCTAGAACTCCGTAGGCTGGAGAAGCCGGGCAAACCACGGCTCCCGCCTGAGTTTGACTCCCGCTCAGCTACAGAGAAGCCGTCGGAAGTTTGGGGGCGGTGGCCCAACTTCGCGAGACTCTCGCTGGAGGCGCAGAAACCCGGGCTAGGGGTGCAGGGACCGGGCTTCGGGCACCAGGGGAGCCTGCGCACTCACCGACTCGGCCAGCAGGAGGCGGCCTTTGAGCGAGCAGAGGAAGGCGCGGGCAGGCAGCAAGGCGCGGAGCCCGGGCACGGTCCTGCCACTTCGGGGGCGGTCCGCGGACTCCGGATCGGGCTCCGGCTCTGCGTCCGGGGGCCACATAGCGGCGCTACCTCGTCGAGCCTCGGCCTCACTGCCTCACCCAGTGCCCTGGAGGGAAGCGGAAACCCGCTGTGCGGAAGGAGAAAAAGTGGAGTTAGACTAGGCCCCGGGACTCATCCTCGGCTGCCCCGCCTCCAGCACCTTCAATCCTCTCCCCCATCCCCACCCACAACTGCCCCTGGGACCCTGCTCCGCCCACCCTCCCGCCCTCCATTCTCCAACCACCCCCACAATGTCCCTGGGATGCTGTCCTGCCCATCCCTCCTCCCCCATCCTCCCTTTCCCATCTCCGCCTCCCCTACAGCCCTTCTGACTCTACCCGGCCCATATCCTGCCTCCAACCAACGCCACCCCCACCCCCACTACCCCTTAGACTTAGCCCTGTCTGTCTCTCCCCGCCTTCCATCCTTCTGCTTCCACCCTCCGCCTCTCACTAGCCCTAGGATCCTCCCCCGCCCATCCTTCATTCTCATTTCCCCCTTCGACTCTGCCGCGCCCACTTCCCTATCCATTGACCCCCTGAACCACACTGCCTCTCCGACCATCCCTGGCCCTCCCCCACAATCTCCACCTCCCTACTACCTCTCCCCCAACATTCCCGTCCTCCCCTTCTTCCCCCACGGCCTCCTTTACCCTGCCCTGCCTATTTCCTGCCCCATTCTCCCACCCCTTTCCACACAGCCTTCTAGGGCCCACCTCCCCATCTCTCCCACTCCGCCCCGCCCCCTTGGATTCTGTACCCAGGTCCTCCCAGTCCCCTCGGACCCCAGCAGCCGGGTGTGCTCTGTGCGGCCCACTGGCCTGGAGTTTTCTAGTATTGTTTGTCTCCGCGCCCCACCCTGGTGGACCCAGCCCCACTTATTGTCTCCCCTGAGCACACTAAAGCGCCGACCACCTAACTGTCCCTTCCTAGCGACTCTGCTCTCTGTCTAAGCTTGAACTCACTTTGTGCCCTACACCTTCCAGGAGCCTAGACATCTCGAGGGCAGGTTCTTCACCTGGTCCTCTCCTGGCTCGGCTCTAAGCAAGCTGTCAGCTCTTGCTTTGTCCCTACCGGAGTTTCCCCACTACTTCCCCGCCACCCTCCTGCAGGTCCTTGGCTAGCCCATCTTCCTTCTCAGCTCGGAGTTTCCCTGGTCATTTCCCTGGCCACACTCCCGTCAATTCTCAGCCCGTCCTCCTTCCGGGCCTCTTTTGTTAACTGCCTGAGGCTTGGGTTCTTCCTGTGCTGGACTAACCAGAGATCTGGGAATTGTCCTTGTCCTCCCTCACCACTAGCCCATCACCGAGGCTCTCTTGCCACCCAAAAGTCCCACACTCCGGCTCCCTGAACTGTTGTGGGGCTCTTTAAGAGGCTTCTGCTTTCTTCCTTGTCAGCCAGATGTGCTTAAATCACTAATCTTGCTTCCTCCCACGGCCCCCTCACACAAATTGATGCTTCCTCATGCAAACAGACGGCACAGGGCCTTTGGACATCTGACCCTTCTAATCATGGGTGTGTGCATGCGGACGTGTGTGTCGTGTGTGTGTGTGTGTGTGTGTGTGTGTGTGTGTGTGTGTACATACTCTTGCGTCTAGGTACTGCTAGGGGTCTCTTATTTTTTGAGAAAAAACCTCATTGGACTACAAGTGCATGGGAATTCCACAAAACTTACCTGGCCAATGAGCTCCAGATGTTCTGTTTCTGTCTTCCCAGAACTGGTATGACCACTATATGTGGGATTCAATTCAGATCCAGCTGGGGTCCTCATGCACCGAGCACATTATTACACGAGCTGTCCTTCCCTCTCCCATTGCTACCGTCTTACCTGATGAAGCTTTTCTCCGCACTGATGGTAAGGCACTGTGATGTCTTAAGGACGACATTCCCTACATTCCCTTGTACATCCGGAAGCGGTACAAGAAACCCAGGATGTGAGGAAGCCCCAGCTGCTTAGGGTAGGGGGCAGGTTGTACCAGGTAGCCCTGAATAGGATCCATGGCAGGGCTGGAGAGATGGCTCAGCTGTTAAGAGCACTTGCTGCTCTTGCAAAGGTTCGATTCCCAGCACTCACACGGTAGCATACAACCATCTGTAACAGTTCTGGGTCAAGGAGTGGCCTGACACCTCCTTCTGGACTCTCTGGATAGATACTTCATGGCATGGTACACTCACAACCATGCAGACAAAACACACATTAAGATAAAAATAAATAAAAATAGGGCTCAGTAGTTAAAGGCTAGGCTCACAATCCAAAAATTAAATAAAGTAAAGAGGAGTCCTGGGACTTACTGGCTGGATTAGAGGATAGCCAAAGTTCACTAAAGAGAAAGGAGGACATTGGTCAGAGGCTGCCTGGGACAGGACTTGGAAGGATGAGACCCTGGTAGCTCAGTTTTCACTCACAGTACCCAAGGAGGACAAGTGAGGGGTCCAAGAGAGAGATACCCACTTCTGATTTGTGCTGCGAAAAAAAAAAAAAAAAAACCGTGGCTATCAATTGAAACTCAATAATGAGGGAATGGCCCAGAGATGCGAACAGGTAACTTACCAGAGGAGAATGTTGACTAAATCGGCACACTGTAAAGGGGGTGGGGGCAGGAGAGTTTCCTCAGCTGTTAGCAGTGATTGCTGTTCTGTATTGATGCTGACTAGGGTTCCGATTCCAGAACCCATGTGACAAGCCAGGCATTTCCCCTGGTATTTTTGACTCCAACTCTGAGGTGGGCAGAGATGGGAGGGTACTAGGCCTTGTTGGCTTCCAACCTTGGGGAGAAACTGATATGCCTATATCAGGGAAAGACTGCCTCAAAGAACAGGTGGGGAGTAACAGAGGAGAACCCCGTGAAGCCCCTTCTGGCCTCCATGTGTGGAGTCACACACGCCTGCACACACACTGGAAGGGTCCAAGGACACACTGAGGCGAGACCCCAGACTCAAAAGTGTGCAAAAGCAAAGAGCGTAGCCATCAATACTATCAGAGATCCCAGAAAGATAAGTTATACCAGAGTACAGACTAAGCAGCTTTCTAATCTATTAATAATGACAGTGACTAGTCCATACCCAGTTTGCTATACCCAGCTCTCCATAGCTTTGGAGGGAGAAGTACCAGAATAGTGGTCTTCCCCAGGCCCACAAGATGAGAGTCTTTTTCTGTGGAGGAACATGGGTAAACCAACCTTATTTTGTCCAGGCAAAAGGGTTGCCATCTCTTCTCCAGTGTCCTGTTGCTTGTCCACATCTGGACCGGGTCCTGGCAGCAGCTGGTACATTGGGACATCTTGCCCAATAGTCAGGGTTATTAAATCTAGGTGGGAACATTATGGTGCCCCATAATCTTCATTGGAGACCTTAGGTCACTGCCAGGATCTGGGAGTCTCTGTCTGATATCATAAACTTTTAATAAACATTTTAAATGCCATATTCTGCAGATCTATGAAGTATTTTTGGGCCACACAGGTATATTTGAATAGATAACCTTGTTTCTTATATTAATCTTAACTTTTGAAATAATATACAGGGAACTAAGAAAGTTTTATCCCTGTAATTGTATCAGTAGTATTTAGCATGGCTATAATTAACAAACGGCCATTTATAAGGATAGATATTAACTTGTATTTCTTTTCTTTCTTTTTTTTTTTTTTTTTTCTGAGACAAGGTTTCTCTGTAGTTTTGGTGCCTGTCCTGGCACTAGCTCTTGTAGACCAGGCTGGCCTCAAACTCACAGAGATCCGCCTGCCTCTGCCTCCCGAGTGCTGAGATTAAAGGCGTGCACTAACTTGTATTTCTTAACATTCTACAGTAGGTTAGCAGCTTTGACCTTTTAATATAGTTTCCCATGTTGTGGTTAAAATTACCTGACGCAAGCAGGAAGGAAACACGGAACACGCATCAAATCCATTTAGGACTTTATTAGAGGGGCATGCACAGGCCTGGGAATTCAGTGTTTAGAGAGAGGAAGATGGTGCATCCGGCTTTTAAAAGCTGCCTTGTGCATGTGCACAGGGGTTTGACGTGGTTACGTCAATACACAGATGATGGGGCTCATGCATGCCCGCAAGGGCTTAGCTGAGTCATACGTAGATGATGCAACCACTCATGCACAAAGGGCTTAGCTGAGTCATATGTGGATCACACAGGGCCCTTTAACATCCCAGGGGGCCTTTAGGCACTTGTGCCTGAGGCCTTGTCTGCACCTGCATGAACCTGGAACCTGGAAGTATCAGCCTTACGTGGCTGAAATCATTACAGTGGTGACCCCCCACCCACACAACAATGTTCACGTTGCTGTTGTATTGTCGTTGTTATGAATCTTAATGGAAACATCTGACATGCCGATGGTCCTACGCTATCCCTGTAAAAAGGTTTTTTTAACCCCCAAAGGATCCGCGACTCAGTGGACTGAGAAACTGTTTCAAGCCCTTTACCAGACTGCTTAGGTCATTGTCTTGCTGCATTACAAGAAATGAACATCCCAGTTTCTGGTTAGCATTTAGTGCTGATGGCTGTGACCCTTTATTTTAATTCCAAATATTAACAATATAAAACATTTCATAAGCATGAATGTCTCATAGCCTTATATATTTAAATATTTTTAAAATTAAAATCTCTTAAATGTCTTCCTGCAATATCAAAAATAAAGTATCTCTTTGGCCCCACCCTCGGCAGCATATACATAGCCTGTCTTTTAGATCTCAGCCTGCTCCATTTCACTGTACCTGGTGCTTCTGGTGATTATCACCTGGCACTGGAATTTCTAAAATGGTTACGGCCCAACCTTGTAACTGGACTCTCTTTGGGACTCTAGTGCTGCCGTACATTTGCAAACCTGTTGGAGCCTGCTCCCACAAAATTAGTCATGGTACCTGGATTGGAGGGCATTAAAGTTAGGGAAATGTCAGATGGAAGAAACTGAGGCAGAAAACACAGGATAGATTCAGGAGGTCTGTTTGATCAAGCCAAAACAGCCAAGAGTTTATTTCAGAACTTGCTTTTATACAGACCAGAGGCAGAAGGCAGGACAGAGAGAGGTGCAGTCAGCTGACCGCCCCTCTGCATTGTTTTGGGGAGAAAGTGCAAGCAGGTTCTGTGTCAACGAAAACCACTTCCTGACAGGGTAGAGGCATGGGAATTTTAGAAATATAAGTGAAAAATATGAAGATGCATAAA